TTTCTCATGCTTTGAATCTCTCTGACTTCCCATTCTGCGGCGTCATCTCTCCTGACTTCCTTTTCTGTTGTTAAGGGCTCATAGCATCACATTGAACCCACCTGGATGATTCAAGATACTCTCCCTAGTTTAAGGCCAGCTAATTAGTAATCTTAATCACATCTGCAAAGTCCCTTCACAGCAGTACCTAGATTAGTGTTTGGTTGAATAACTAGGAGGAGATGGAAATCTTAAGGAGACAATTTTAGAATTCTGCCTCCCACACCTACTATGTTTTCAACACCCTCTTCTATATTTTCAGACATTAAACTTCTTCTGTTTATAGTCTGTACTTAATAATTATAATATCTGGTATCTTTGTACTTTGGGTTCTGTATCTTCAGTTTATGTTGGCTCTTATACATTATGCTTTGTTTCTTGGTGGATTTTGTAAGTTTTAATTAAAAACGGACATAGAACTTTAACCTCAGTAGTTTTCTGAGCTCTAGGTTAATGGTGTGTTCCTTCTTTTGCCAGGTGCTTGGGGTTACTATCAACCCAAGATTATTCTAAAATAAATTTTCAGATTGAATTTTTGGCCCCTAAGCTGGTATTAGAACTTTAGGCCTCTAATCTGTGTAGTTAGGAATTTTCAGGGAGCCTTTTCCCCCACACCTAGTGCATAGGCCAAAATATGGACGTTCCCTGGATGTTTCCTCTATGGAGTGGGTTTTTTTCCTAGCTCACATTTTCACTGAGACTATCATCCTTTGGAACTCTACCAGTGTAGGCGTTTTCTCTTTAGCTCCTAACCTGGCTGAGTCTAGCTTGGTCTGCAATCCGTTTGTTCCCTGTGCACCCATTAAATGAGAATTTCAAAGTCTCTAGGGATTAGCCCTTGTCACCTTCAGTCCTTAAGTCTCTGGATTCTTGCTTGTGCGTCATCTTTGTCTTTTGAGGACTTCTATTATTTTCTTGCTGACTCAGTGACATATGTTACACAATATTTTTTATTGTTGTGCTTTAAGAAGATTTTTTTTTTCTTCTAGTATTCATACTAGGAGTCCCTGGGTAGCACAAGTGGTTAAACGTTTGACTACTAGCCAAAAGGTTGGTGGTTTGGACCCATCCAGCAGTACCTCGGGAGATAGGCCTGGTGATCTGCTTCCAAAAGGTGACAGCCTTGCAAACCCTATCGAGCAGTTCTATTCTGTGCACATGGGAACACTATGAATTGGAATCGACTCGACAGCAACTAACAAGAACAAACAATAGTATTTATACTACGATATTCTCAGAAATGAAAACCTCTTTAGGTCTTTTTTTTAAACCCTGTGGCTTTTCCTTTCTAGACAAATGATAGTTTCCTTATTTGGAAAATCTTTTCAATTTCTGCTCCATTTGTATGCTGTGTTTACTTGTTTACTCCTGGATTAATAGTCTGGTTTTTCCTTGACAGTGGGGACCTGTGCTGTTGATATTTCCATTCCCAATGCTTGCTCAGCAAATTTCCGCTAAACTAATCAAGTGCTTTATTTGGGAACAACACGGCTAAAAGCTGTGCTGGAGTAATAATTCTGTTTTCATTTTTAGATTCCTGTTAGAATAACAAAACTGACCCAGCTTGTTTGGGCTTATACTTTCATCCCTAGTGCAAACTTCCCCCCTCCTAAAAATAAAACCATTTAATTTGGCAAAATCCACATAGCAAGTAATAATAACAGTTTAATTAAACTAATAAAATTTTGGAACAAAAGGTGATCACATACTCTTATCATACATTTATCCACGACAGATATATAATAATTTACCTAATTATAATAATCTATTACATATAATGGTATATTGTCTATATGTCAAGACACAATTAATGTACCATGATACTGTTTTATCCATTTTTGCTAATAAGGTTAATTACTAGTATTGGTTGAATGTGTATTTCCCAGCCTCCCAGGTTGAATGGAGAAAACAAAGCCCTGGATACAAGCAAACCAAGGTGAAAACAGTGCAGAGATTGGAGAGGAGAAGAAATCTGAATTCTAGAGACGCTGACATTATAGCTGCCGTTGGGGTGAGTGAAGGATACGCACATGTCAGAGGAGTCCTCGAGATTTGCACGAACAGACAGTAAATAGGCATTTAGTGAAATTGCTACTATTATCTAGACAAGATCCAATCCTAAATAAGACACTCGCATTTAAGGTGACAAAAGTTTCTTGTTACTCTTTAAGTGATGATCAAGAAAATGAGAAAAACACTACCGACCATAGAGTGGGAGGACAAAGACTGTTTGAGCATCTGTTTAGGGCCGCCTTTTGGAAACTTTCAAAAGACAGTGTGCAACCCTCAAACTAAAAGAGCTTGAGAACTTTGATGTAAATGCGATAAACATGAAATGGATGAATTAAGTCATTTTTGATATGTCAACCAAACATAAAGGTGTAGCAAGAGAACTCTGTGGCTTGCACAAATTTTGACTAAGTATTATTTTCCCTGCACCCAGTTGGCAGCCGTTGGAAGCAATTCATTAAAATTATTCAAGCAGAATGTTTATATTATTTTCTTGAGAGAAAAACTTACTCATTAGAATTTGAAAAGTTATTTCATTTTCTCATAATGAAAACATATCATCATATAATTCAGCAGTGATAAATTGAGTGACTAGAAAAAAGCAGAAATGTAATAAATACTATGAATCATAAGTAAATGTGTAACATATGATAGCGAAAGAAACAAGTAAATAAACATAGAAGATTTACACAAAACTGAAATATTTATATTTACTGGTTAAAATAGACAAATGTGTTTTGAAAAATGACTAAATTTCCATTGACTAATAAACATGGATGAATAATGAACATGGACAATTCTTCATATATAATATTTTAAATGTCTTAATATTTAAAAAACCTGCTATATTACATATGATTTCAAAAAATAATTTTATAAATTGATTTGCAAAACAAGAAAGTAGGTCTAATATCTTCTGCAAAGGTGCCAATGAAGATTAAAATTAACAAAGGCCCCACAACATCAGGGAAAGAAACAGTATATGAATCATTCAATTCCTTTTTCAAATAAATTTTAAGTATTGCTGATTGAAATTATAGCAGTTTTGACGAAAAATAATCCTGTTTCTTTCTCTATGATGATTCCACCCATATAGAAAAAGAATTCATAAAACAACAGCAATGACAACAAAAGTAGGTACGCTAATATATATATTTTTTAATTTTCAGCGAGGGAAATTTTTAATGAGTTAAAGGGACAACATTAATGATTCACTAAGGCTGAAAAGCAAAGATTAAAAAAACCCTTAAGCAACAACAATAAAACAGTTTTCTCTTTAAGTTATGAAGGTGATATCTTTGAGATGTCAGTAAATATGCTAAATGTGCTCTAACTTTGCACAATTTTCATTAACAGGAATAATTCTAGGTCAGAAAAAAAATAAAATTGTTATTTCCTAGTGATTTTTACTGACTGACAAAGAAAGTAGTATGTTATAACCATGTTTGTAAAAATAATGAACATCTATTTGTCATTTGCAATTAAATTGTTGAAGTAAGTGATGAAACTGTTGAATATCTCATTGGGAGAATAACCGAATATTTTACTTAACCAAGCACTCTTCCTAGAATTTGCCATGTTTTCTGATTTGATAGCTGCTGAAAATAGAATTATTTTTCAAATTTAAAAAATAAAATAAAATTAGCAAAGGTGTCTTTTTAACCTAGTATTCCATCTTATTTTTAGTTTGAGAATTGCTGTATTCTAACCTCTCCGTCTTTCTTACCTGTGCACATTATTTTGTTCCAGTTGTTATTTTTTCCTTTTAATCTAATTTTTAAGTGCCAATAGACCTTACTGTTCGTCATATCCTGAGTGCTAGAGGATTATTCTCATTCTGCTTTTGTTTGGATGCTCGGTTTTGTCTTCCTTTTCCTCTGTGGTTTGCCAATAACAATTTTTTTTTTCTCTTTTAGTAAATATGCCAATAGTTTTTAACTTATTTTTGTCTCTGAAATTTCATTTCAATTTTTATATAATGGAGTTATGTGACTTTTTTCTATGCCTCTATAGACAGCGATAATTCATTTAAATTTTCTACATCTCCTCTTTTTACATCTATCATTATATATTTCAGAAATAAGACAAACATTTTAGCAAAGTTGTTACACATATACAGAAACGTGTTAATAGTTGTATAGAGTTTAGTTTTCCTTTCTAATTATACTGTGCTAATAGTGCAAATCATATCAAGCCTGATGCATGCTGCTACAAAATGCATTTCTTAGTGCACTAAACTCATAAGGGTATGGATTATATTAAATTAATCCAACCATATGGTCAATGAGAAATGAATCCTTATCTATGGGTTTTCTGTAGTTTCATGGATTGAATTCAGCTATACTTTTGGAACTACTACTTCTGTTTTAATTTTATACTATTTCTATAAGAATAATATGAGTGGAATTTTTTTTAATGAGGGAATTCACATTCCATTTACATTAATTTTTTTATCTGCACCACCAGATAACTGACCACAGGGTTGGTTTTTCAGCAAACTCCCTTTGCGAAACACTACAGAAACGATTTATCCAAATGCTAATTAACTTCTGTATTTTATTTCCTATATCTAGTTTCATACAGGGTTTCTGAAATAACACATTGAAGTTTGAAATGTTAATCTGAACTTGAAATGTAAGATGAAGCAAATGCTCTAATCTCTTTGAAGGTCAAATTATAAATAAATCTTCAGACAAAGCAAGATGCAGATGGTCCATGAGCAAAATCTCAAGCCCAGGCTTCTTGATGAAGACGCGTAGGGGTCCTCGGGTTGTATCTCAAAGGAGATGTGGGCACTTGAGTTTTGACTTTTGACAGCAGGTCTCGCTGAAACCACAGAAGCTAAACCAGGTCTGATTTGAATGGCTTATCAGTTATTCAGAGCCAAATTTTATAGTGAATTCATAATGGTTCCAAAACTCACCACAGGATAGTCAGAACACTCCTGCTGGTCATGGTATGGTCTGGTTATTCGGTAGAGGAGCCCAAGCGGGATAAGTGTGCAGGTCAAACATGGGCACGATCCAGGTGGATATGCCGAGCATCACCACGGCAACACCCACAATGTTCACGCCAAGTCCAGCTTTAACCTTAAACCAGAAAGAGTGTGAAAGTCAGTCTTCCAGGAAGAATCTCCGGGAGAACTGGAATACTGTTGCAAAGGCATATGTCAGATTTACATGACTCCTAAATGATCAGTAGAAATTGTTGTCATTTCAAAAAACATGGGGTCTTCTTCCACTCATGCCAAAAGAGAATTTGTCCCCAACTGAATGCCATTTAGGTGGAGAGTCTCAGAGTGGTTCATCTTAGGAACATGCCTAAGCCTTTCTGACTAGAGAAAAACCCCTTTAAAAATTTGTCATTTTGTGCTAAATCACAATTTGTGTTTTATCATATCATATTTCAATGAATAAATTCAGGCCACCATACCCCCTATGATAACAAGCTGTTTATAACCAGATCCTTCATATCCACTCAATATTAGTAGTTTGCCTTTCTGTATTCTCTTACTGAGACTTATTAATGCCACTTCTACTCATCTTTAGAGTTCACACTTTGTCTAGCTCTTTGGTCATCATTCTGGTGCCTATTAAACCATTTCCAAGGTGCTGTCTATCTATTAGGAGGTCAGCAAACTACTGCCTGTGGCCTATTTTGTAAATAAAGTTTTATTGGCCAACAGCTACGCACATTTGTTTTATGTATTATCTATGGCTGTTTACACGCTACAATAGCAGAGCTGAAGTAGTCGTGACAGATTGTACGGCCCACAGAGCCATAAGTATTTACTATCTGGCCCTTTATAAAGGAAGTTTGCTGACCTATGTATTAAAACATGGAGTCCTAAAGCAAAAAGGAATACCTAGGAATGATTATTACAGAAACCAAAAAAACAAAAAACAAAAAACCCATTGCTTTCAAGTTGATTACGACTCACAGCGACCCTATATAGGCTATAAATGTTTACGGAAGCAGACCGCCATATCTTTCTCCTGTGGAGCCTCTGGTGGGTTCGAACTGCCGACCTTTTGGTTAGTAGCCAAGCACTTAACCACTGTGCCACCAGGGCAAGCCAGTTATTTAGTCCAGAACCCTGTTTTTATTTTTTTAATATACGTACATGAGAACATTGCTTATGTTGCATTATACAGATTTTATTTTCCAAAAGGATATTATATGACTTCTTTGTGGAGGCAGTTCCAGAGCCTTTATGTCGCAGGGGCTCAGGAACAGGACTCTGGGTGGAAGCATGAGAGCTGGACTTACTTTGGAACTGTGTTCGCAGGACCATTTCCTTGGTTATTGGCTTGTTTGGGCTGGTTTGGAAATTGAAAATGAATATGGGACCTGACTACGATAATTTCAAACCAGTTTTTGACTCGGGCCCTAGTTTGTATTTCGTTAAGATGTGTAGGTTTTATCACTTAACTTCTCCATCATCACATGCTTGTTCTATTACATCGGTGTGCCAGTAACAGGAAGCCAGAGAACGATGGGTATCTGAATTGGGGCATCTGTCAGGCATTGAGCCCCGTGTCTTGTTCAGAACAAATATTGGTTGCATAAATATCTGTGATAGCAAACCATAGTGCTATTTTGATTGCTGACTTTCATTAACCCGATTCTTTACTATTTATTCCTTTTGCCCAGGTTGGATTGAATCATGATCTTGACATGCGAGCTTAAGCAGCCATGCTGAGCTACTCTTTTCCTTCCTTCAGGGCATTACTGGTGCATTCAGTATCTCTGTATTTGTGATCATGAATTCGAATGGCATGTTCCTTTCTAGTTATACTCTCAAAAAGAACCCTATGACCAGTCGTGCACTAACCTTCTGAAGCAGAATTCAAGTCATGCTTTACCCGGATGCTGGTTAGCGTATAAAAAGAGAGAGAACCCAAGACCACCAAAAAAGTGTACTAGATCCGATAATATTCTTTTTGGTAACTCACCATGTCAACGACTTTGAGATGGCCGTATGAATACACAATAGCATTGGGTGGATTTGCTACCGGTAGGAGGAATGCAAATGAAACACACAGAGTACAAGGTAGCAAAAGGTAAAGAGGATTCACTTCAATGGCTTCAGCCTATTGGAAAAGATAAAAACGAATCCCAGTAAAATTGACGGTAGGCACCAGGCATCAAAACGAGCATATTTACTATAATAAACTTTCCCAGAAGAAGGTTGAAACCTGAAGACATAAAATTATGTCTTTGTAAGTACAGCTATATCTGGAAGAATTTTTTTTTCCGGAAAATGTCTTTTTCTCTTGTTTATTTGGTTTAGGCATTATAGCTTAGCTCATTTAGAAAATTAACTTTTATTCCAAAAACTAAATTTAAAAAATTGCAACCATTTACTTAGTGCTAGGTGCTGTGCTGTGTATGTGTGTGTGTATACATACATAAATGTTGTTGGGTGCCATAGAGTCGATTCTGACTCATGGCAACCCCAGCTGATAGAGTACAATTGCCCCACAGGGTTTTCTTGACTATAATCTTTACAGAAGCAGATCGCTAGGTCTTTCTCCTGCAGAGCCACTGGGTGAGTTCAAACTGCCAGCCTTTCGGTTAGCCGCTGAGTATTTAACTGTTGTAACACCGTGGCTCCTTACACATTCATGCATATATATATATGTATGTATGTATGTATGTATGTATGTACAACTCATAAGGTTATTGTGAAAATTAAAGGAAGACATATATGTAATAAATGTATATAAACCAAAAAAAAACCAAACCCCTTGCCATGAAGTTGATTCCAACTCGTAGTTACCCTATAGGACAGAGTAGAACTGCCCCATAAGGTTTCCAAGGAGGGCCTGGTGGATTCGAACTGCTGACCTTTTGGTCAGCAGCTGTAGCTCTTAACCACTACACCACTAGGGTTTCCATAAATGTATATACTTATATACATAAATATATACATATAGATACATATGTTTATCTTTATTTAATGTTCACAATAACCTTATGAGATGTCTACTAATACCCTCAGATAACAGGTGAAGAAACTGAGGCCCATAGAAACTAAAGTAATGCCCAAGCACACAGCTGGTAATGCTTGGGTAGGGTCTCAGGTAACACTGGCTCCAGAGCTTCTCATTATACCACTGCCTCTGTGGTGTACGTAAACTAAAATCTGCTTTGGGATCATCATAGAAGAAGTGTTACTATTATTCTTAATTTATCACATAATTTTGTAACTGCTCCTCGTTGGGGGCAGGGGACAACACAGAAAAAAAGAAAACTCAAATGATATTTTACTAATATAAATTGCCTACTTTTTAAAATCTAATATGATGCAGCAGCCCACGAATGTCAACATATGCCCCTTTGGTGGGGGTGGGGGAGCTTTAAGCGAAAGCATAATCAATTCTCACAGCTGGTAGCAGAACAATCCCAGAAGGGCTATCCTTCTTCATTTATTTTGTTTTTCTTTCATCAAACTCATCTGCTTGAGTAAGAACATCTTTTTACTTAAAGCTGTTTCGTGTAATTGTCAGCAAAGGTAAAATTAAAGACAGGGAAGACATCTAGGTGGGGAGAAGAAAGGAAGGTGGTTTTTCTCTGCCTCTGCTAGCATCTCTGTCTGCTTCTTATCTTTTTTTTAAACAAAAATCTTTCCTGGGCCGGTAGAGAACTGTGTCTAAGATATCTAAGCTTGAAACGTGAACTGTAAGCCCAGCCCTTCATTCATTTGCAAATCACTTGTATGAAGCACATCTCAGAATGCCAGGAATAATCTCCAGCAGGGAGACATGGCAATGTTAGGCACTAAAGTTGCCAGGAACCACTGAGTCCCAAAGCCCTACAGCGGCAATAGACCTCGACTAGCCCTCTCATTTTTCTGCAGATGAAGAAACAGTGGGGAGAGATGGTAGCTGGTTCACTTAAGATCAAGCCACTTGAAAAGGGAAGAAAATAGGTCTCTGAGGTTGAGATCTCCTAAAACAAAAATGATTAATGCTAATATAGACCACTCTTTAAGCTAATTGTAGGAGGGCCGTTCAGGCCAAATAAGATCCCACACCACAATATGAGAACCAGTATTTCAGAGTAAATCCCTATGCTTGATGAATAGTGACAGGGCATAAATAGAATACTCACCAGTGGAGATAATATTGGGAGAACAATAGTAATGGTAGCTGGGTTGCTGGCTACCTCTGTTAAAGATGTGACGATCATAGAAGAGATCAGAATTATTAGCCATACCGGTAACGAACCTAGAGGAGATAATTTGTTTCCTATCCACTGGGAGAGTCCTGACTCCTAAAAAACAAATTTGCAATAGTTGTCATTCATTAATAATTTATTTTATTAGACACAATTTAAATACATAAAAAATTCTAATTGGCTCTCAGAATCAGTTTCTAAAATATAATTTTCTCATATTTTTCTGTGGTTTTGTAGATCTGGGTGGCTCTCAGTCTTATTTTAACACTACCAACATGCTTTAAGAAGTGTGAATTGTTTTCCCACATTTTTTTCAATTAAATATTAATTTTATTAAATTAACATATATGGATATTTTAACAAGTCATGTAGTTCTGTAGGACTTTAAGAGCAGCCCTTCTGATCCACATCTCCCCATTCCTAAGCTCTATCCCCCAGAGGCAACAACTTTCAACCCTTACTAGCTATTTCTAGCTATATTTAGGTATTTATAGAGAGCTTTCAAAATAGTATTCTAATTATGCTCTTTCTTAAGTTTATATATTATTTACTGACTTCCTAATAAGTTCGATATGGATGTACTTTTCTTACACCATCCACCAAATATTTATTTTCCATCCCTCCACTCCCCTCACACTGATATATCAAAATTTTTGGCTAGATCAATATTTAATGTTTTATATCATGATTATATAAATATTATTCACAACTGAGCCACTTAGTGCACAAGGATTACATTTGCACTTAAAAAATCTTTTTTTTTCCCCAAAAAATAATTTGCTTCATTCTTTTTGTTTGCTTAGTCTTCTAAGTACCTATCATTATTCTTCATTACACTCTCCATAAGACTCTCTAAGCACTCAAACATATCAGTTAATTGTTCTTTTCCATTTTCCCCCATGGAAACTTCCATTCTGGAGTGTTCCCTCCTCCTGCTCCATCTGGATTTGATGCTCTTTAGATCTACTCCATTGTTATTCTGGGACCTCTCTTCACTACCATACCATGAATCCCATTCGACTTCCTCCGATATGGGGCTCTCTAGCTTCCTTTCTTGTTTATTCCTTTGGGTTGGTGCAGCTCATCCTTCTGCAGCTTCCTGAGAACTGGTGGATGGGAGGCAACTTTTTTTTTTTTTGGTCTCTGCAGGTCTGAAAACCACTTTATTTTCACACTATTTTGATAGTTTAGCTTTTATAGAATACTAGATTTAGAATAATTATCACTCAGTGGTTTCAAGCCATTTTTCCAATTTCCTGTGGCTTCCAGTTGGACTATTTAGAAGCCCGAAACCATTCTGATCTTTGATTCATTGTGTGTAGCGCAGAAAAATAGGTTGTACTCAGATTAGCAGGTATGTCGTTCATGTTCTTCTGTTTCCCAAATCTCCCTCCCATCAATGGAAGGGAAAATCCTTTCGTGAGAAGATTCCAGTGAGCTACCGCATGTGTGAGTCTATTTGTGGTTTAGACATATATATATATATATACACACATATATATATATATATATATATAGAGGTTTTGACTTTTAGCTGGAAAAATACTGTCTACTCTTTAAGTCATACTGGCACAAATTCATCCTAGAATATGATTACAAATAACATAGATGTCTGATTAGACGCAGCTAGAAAAGATTGGACGTATACTGTTCCTCCTCTCTGGAGGCTGTTGGGAACCTATCTACATCCCTAGAGTTCCAAAATCTTCATGAATACTCTGGTGTTGGGCACTCACTAACTCAGTCCAGAATCCCAAAGCCTTCGGTCCCAGGAAATGTCTTTGTATTCTTTTTTTGGAAGTGTCCTTCCTTCTATTTTCTTGTTTGTTTGCTTATTTATTCTTTCTAAAACTCCTAATAGTCGGCTCTCGGACATTTTTGACTGATGCTCTAATTTTCTTACCTATTTTTTTTTCATAATTACCTTCTCTTTGTCTTCTTGTTCTACTTTTTGGGATATGTTCAAACTTTATCTTCTAACCCTGCTACTGAATTTTTTATTTCTGCTATCTTATTTCTAAATTTCAGGGGCTCTTTCTTGTTGCCTTTTTTTTTTTTTAAATACATTCTATTTTAGTTTCATATCTGTAATGTTTCTGACATCTTTCTGAGGTAATCAGTGACAAACTTTTTAAAGTTTTCCTTGCTTCCTCCATTATACTTGCTTTTTCTATGGTCCTTTCTTTTTTTGTGTGTTTGTTTGTTTCTTGTTATAATATCAGAGGCTTTTCCAATTGACTGGTGATCCTTGACTACCTACTCATGTTAAATGATAACTGGAACCTCTGTGTCTGTGGAAGGGTTGTTGAATGGCAGACTCTACTGTAGATAATTGAGCTGTGAGCCAGTGTCTCTTTAGTTCAATGCTGTTAGAGAGTAAACTCCAGTTTTCTGTTACAAAGGAGGAAGAACAGATCCCTGGCTGTTCTGAACTAGGGAGAGCCCCTTAAACACTTTTTAAGCTATCCTCTATTCTCAGCACGGGCTTTTACCCTGCTATCTCTAAATCCTGAGTTCTTCCAGGATCCTTGGGCTAATTGTCTTATGTCTTGCTGGCCCTTCTCTTTGCAGGCCCGTAGTTTTCATCTTTCTACTCTACCAAGTCAGTTACCCTTCAAACATCCTCTTTCCATCTTCCAAATTTTATCAACTCTCTTGTCTGTCATTGTCTCCTCTCTCATATATTCTTTGTCTTTATGGATTTATGCTATTTTGTTCCCTTTTTTGCCATTTAAATGGGAATTTGAGAGGGAATGAAGAAAAAAGTGTTAAATCCTCCATGTTTAATTAGCAGATGAATTCTGAGGATTGTGTGACAGGGGAGAGGAGAGGTTATTTATTGGATAAGAATGTGAAAGTGACTACATGATAAGAATTGAAAGTGACTATAGGGAGATTGGAAACCCTGGTGGTGTGACGGTTAGAGCTACAGCTGCTAAACGAAAGATTGACAGTTGGAGTCCACCAGGTATCCTTGGAAACCCTATGGGCAGTTCTGGCAATGGGTTTGGTTTTGGTTTGATCTGGAGATCATGTTAAAAAAAAAAAAAAATCAAGAGGTATTTAAGAGAGAGAGAATTGTAATAAGGTGAACACCTAGTAGCTGCTGTCACCCCCTTCCCAACTTAAAGGGTTATCTAGTTCTGGACATTTACCAGAAAAATTACACCTTGTGATAAGTTAAAGCAAATTAATAATCTCCAAATCTTTGTAAAACCAGTTTCTAGGGGCAAATTTATCCCAGCCATGTTTCTGAAGCTAATGCTTTCAATCTGACTGCTCAGGAGGAGGGTATTCCAGGGGTATTCTCTATTCTACAGAGACCTGGTTCTATGTTTTATGACTTGTATAGCAGATTAGACCTCCCTCCATGATTCTTCTGATTCTTTCACTTAGAGAACACAGTTCATCAGGCGAAGTCCACCATTTTTCATTTCTTTCGATTTTGGCTATTCTGCAGTCTGGCCAATGCTTTCAAAACCACAGTGAATGTCTGGGGCCCAATCCAGACAGACATTCTGAGGAAGAGAAATGAGCAAAGTTCACGTCAGTGTCAGACTTCCTGATTCTGATTTCCCCACAATTCAACTGAATGGACATAGGGATGGAAGTTGTTTATTCTGAGAAAACAGACCACATTACTGCTGAAAAAGTGGGGGGAAAAAGTATATTTATCTTACATTTCTCATTTGTATTTGGGTATTCTGTGAGACAAGCCAAATCTAGACCTAAAAAGATGTAAGTGGCACTCAGAATTGAGACAATTTCTAAGACTTACAGCTATTACTAAATCCTCTTGCTGAAAGCTCAGTATCGAAATTCTACACAGAAAAATTGACAATGAAGTCAGAAGCAAAGACAAGAAGAGATAGTTATTGGTCTTGAGGAGTATAAGTATAAAAATTTAACTGCCTGGAGCTAAAGGGCTGGACACAACACCTTCTTACTATCCTTTTCAATTTGAGAAGGAATTTGGAGGAGGAAATGGAACACCCATGAACTTCGAGTATTTTACAAAAGACTACAAACTGCAGAAATGAGAAGTTTTTGATTAGTCAAAGAGTGAAGAATTTTAAAGGAATTTTTGGAGAAGATATTTTTCTTCCAGCAATCCTACAATGACCAGGGCAATTCCAAAGGCCAAGGGCCTCACCAGACTGCTGAGCTATAGCAACTGGACAGATATGTCACAGAAATAGCCAACTTTATTCCTTCTGGTGTTTCAATTTCTCCCTAAGATGATGTACAACATTAAAAAAGGTTATGTGAAATTCTCTCTGGATTTTATTCAATAAACACTTATTAAGTGCATTTAACGTGAATCTTATTCCTCCTTCTTCTTTGATAACAATAAGACCATGATATTTTGAAGAGAAGTCTAGAAGCTACTCAAATTCATTGTGAAATAAGGTAAATAAACAAAAAATATGTTCAATAGGAACTACTTTACATATTATTTTTATATACGCTTTTTCTTACTAAGCCAGTCTTCTAATACAATTTCATGGATTAAGAATTTTAATCTTCTTTGCTTTATTTCTTTTGTCATGCTGGAACACCATAACAATGATCTTTTATGCTTGCAGTCTGTAAAAATTCTTGAACTCTGAACTCAGCTCATCTGTGTGGTATACGCACTGATGGTTATTGAAACCTGCATCATTAAAATGATAGAATAAAGCTGAATATGCCAAAAGCCTGAATGTCTCTGTGTTCTTCTTTTGAACAGTCTCATTAGCTGTTAAATATCCTAGACGCAGAGTATTACCTCACAGCCATCTGCCAGGGCAAACCCTCCACCGACAAGAATGGCTATATCCCAGGGCATGAATGACTGGAATTCTTTCCAAGTAATCAGTGGAGAGTAATCAAAAGCAACTGCAACACAAAAGTCCTATAGTTACACATTGCTTGAAATATGACAACATGACATTTTTTTTTTCCAGAATACTGAACAGCCATCTTATAGGAAGTTTATAATATTCCCATATTGTTTTAAAGAAATGCTGTAACTTGGAAAAATCCCTTCGGTAATATTATACAATAAATGTAGATAAATTATAACATTGTCATTTATAAAGCTATTCATTCATTCAGTCATTCATTCCACTAACTCGTTGCCTACTATAAGTAACATAGTGCACGGGACTACATTATTCTTCTCTATGCAAAATGTCTGTAATGTTCCATTGGTTTTGATAGCATGACTATAGTATTATAATTATTACTCACTACTATTTACTTGACTATTTTATTATTTTTTTGATCATGAAGAAGGGCATGACGCGTTCACCAGGATTCCAGTTTTAAAAAAAAAGTTCAAAGTTCGGATGAAATAATTGAAGTATCACTAGTGAGATCCTGAAAACCCTGGTGGCGCAGTGGTTAAGAGTTTGGCTGCTAACCAAAAGGTCAGCAGTTCAAATACACCAGCCACTCCTTGGAAACCCTATGGGGCAGTTCTACTCTGTCCTGTGGGGTCACTTTGAGTTGGAATCGACTCGATGGCAAGGGGTTATGGGTTTAGGGAGACTCTGGAGCCCTGGTGGTGCAGTCGTTAAGAGACTGGCTGCTAACCAAAAGGTCAGCAGTTCAAATCCACCAGCCACTCCTTGGAAACCCTATGGGGCAGTTCTACCCTTCTATAGGGTCACTGTAAGTCAGAATCGACTCGATGAGTTTTTTTTTTTTTTTTTGGTTTAGTGAGTCCCTTAAGATACTCATAAACCAATTATTATAAAGATTTCTTTTGATATTTGGGTCCTTATCTCTCCATTGATCTGTCGAGAAAGAACTTTATTAATGAACACATTAAGCCTATTTAACATTTATGTGTAGCAGGCAGCCGTCTACATGATGAGATTTCAAGGTTTCTAATAAGCCTCCTTCCTATCTCCTTCCCTGAGACCAAAAACAAACCAGCCCTCACTAATGACTAACATTTTGCCATCACCTTTCTTACTTGGATTAAGGCCATATATCCTGTTGAAATTCAAACATTTCTAGGCTGTACCTCTCATTTAAAATTTGACATATTATATCTCACCTGCCATTTTTAAAACTAATGTGAATGAGTTTATCAGGGAGAAGAAGTGTTGGAGAATGAGGGGAGAGAGAAAGGTGGATAAGGGCAAGGCTCCCTCTGAGGGGGAGATTCAGATGTGGCGGCCAGGGAAGCAAAAGCCAAGTATTGGTTCCTCAACACTTGCCATAGCCAGGCCTTAGGACTTTGACTATAATGGTCAGAGTCCTCAAGATCTCTTATGAATATAAATGTCCTACATTGCAACATCTCATTATAACACACGTTTATGTGATATTCTAATCTTGAGTAAAGAACAAAAGTCACTTGCTTTTACACTACGCTGGTCACATATATCATGTCTCAGAAATCTGATACACTAGCCATTTATAGATTATGGCTCAAGGATCCAGGTAAGTCAACCCAACTGCATGACTCCCAATTCTATTCATGTAAAAAACTAAATTCTACACGATTATTCCCAAACGATTATAAACCATTTGTTTCATATTGACAACATAGGAATATGACCACCCAAAATAGGTATAAAGTATAAATATGGATGAATACCATGTTTAAGAAGTAGGTGTGTGTTTTTCTAGGGGCATGTGTGTGCAAACGTGCATGCTTCTTTGCCCACGTGTTGTACATATAATGGATGCTCCCACTATCTTTTCTTTCAATGGTAACAGTAGGTTATGGCTTGCTTGGAGTTGATGTGCATTTCTTCAGGACCACTAGAAGGCTGTAAATGCTCTTTCCCTTTGAATTCCTCACCTTCTTAGGTCCTCAGCATTCATTACCAAGGGTTCATCACAAAGTAATGACATCCGAGTTCCTGTTCCTATGTTTTCCACAGTGAGATTAATTTTAATTATGGCAGGGAAGGGAGTTTATCACAGGTCACGTATTACCACTTGTGGCAGAGCCCTAACCATGGTACATAAAGGAATCGACCTGTCACTTCTGCAAAGAGGATTCCCCTTGTGGGTAGAGAACATGTTCTGGCTGAACAGGGGTTGCAGTTTGCAAATAGGACCTGGTAGGCCAGAGCTTGTGTCAGCATGTCCATTCCTTCTGTTTTAACTGCTAATTGAAACCAACAGAGTACATTTTTACTCTTCTATCAAATTCATCCAGAATTATAAATGATACTTAACCAGTTTCTCCTGTGGGTGTAGTTTTAGTCAATGGCTTAGCTGGGATAATAAAAAACAGGAGTCCTACAAGTAAGGCAACAGTTGAATCTGTAGCAAAACCTGGGTACCTGAAAAAGGACAAATGAATGTATTAAAAAACAGAATCAGGAACTTATATGAGATAAATATCAATTGATTATTCTAAAAGTACATAAGTAGTAGTGGTACTATAGATCATTTTCTCTGGATAATCTCCTCTAAAAACTATTGATTTCCATTACATACTTTAGTAAAACTGGAAATATCAGAATCATATTCCCATATATCTATCCTTATTTTCAGTACCATGTATACACATGCTGATATACCAGGCCAACCTGGCAAACTTCCCTTTTGGACACTCTTACAGATCCATTCATTTCTACTTTAAATCAGTTATTTTTAAAAATTAGATTGGCAGAGAATTGAGGATGAAACAATTTCTAAAAGAGGCAAAGCCCCATATACTTGATTTATAACATCTTTCTATTAAAATGTGGCTAGGGATGGATGTTTCTAGAGACCCCAAAAACTCTTGAAAACTTTTATGTAAATTGTCAAAAGGAATTGATCTGTTTTCTAAGACATAACACCTGCTTCTACAGTTATAGACCTGAGCCATATTATACAAACGAAATCAACCCATTTTAATCACTGTATCCTATGAAACTCAATCAAGAATATTAATTGCTGGAACGGGTTCTGAGATGCTCATAAATGATCACTGTACAAATTAAGATTGATTCAGGAACAGATGGGGGTGTTAGAATCACCAGACCATTCTAGCAAATAAGACAACTTTCCAGAAACTTCAACAGTTAAGAAGCACCTGGAGATGAGATGTAAGTGAAATGGGCATAAATGATTAGAAATCAGTTTTAGAAGTCAGTGATATTAACTAGTGCATCTTTATAGCATGAGAAGAAATATGAACACCTTAAAGATTACTTTACTTCCTCGTCACTGGGCAATGTGTACATACTCTAGAAGCTCTGTATTCCTGTAATTTACTTGAAAAATCTTAATAATCACAGAAATGCATTATATTTCTCAATATAACAAAATTTAAAGCAATCTGCATCTCTTAACTACAGAACTATTTTCTTTCTTTGTTGAGTAAAAAGCTACCTTGGCAGCCTTTATTCTACAAATTTGACTATTATTTATAATTTTACTGTTTCTTATTTGATTTCAGATATAATTTTAGGTTGGATTTTTGCCAGGTTGGGTCAGGCATCATGTAACCTGATTTGTTTTGTATGAAAAGAAACACTGAATTCAGTCCAGGTTCAAGCAGACGGAATGAAAACATTAGGTAGTAGCCATAAATCTTCATACATCACTCTAGCTCTGGAAATTCTACTTACCTAAAAACTTTACATAACAAATGTATTTTACAGAACATATACTTTAAATTCACCACTTGTCTGTCAGTTTGTTGTATAGTGGTGGCTTGCGTGTTGCTGTGATGATGGAAGCTATGCGGCCGGTATTTCAAATGCCAGCAGGGTCACGCATGGTGGACAGGTTTCAGCAGAGCTTCCAGACTAAGACAGACAGGAAAAAGGACCTGGCAACCTACTTAAAAAAAAAACTGGCCAGTAAAAACCTTGTGAATAGCAGCAGAATATTGTTTGATATAGTGCCAGAAGATGAGCCCCTCAGGTTGGAAGACACTCAAAATAGGACGGAGGAGGAGCTGCCTCCTCAAAGCAGAGCTGACCTTAATGACGTGGATTAAGAAAAGTTTTTGGGACCTTCATTTGCTGTTGTGGCATGACTCAAAATGAGAAGAAACAGCTGCAAACATACATTAATAATCGGAACATAGAATGTATAAAGTATGAATCTAGGAAACTTGGAAATAGTCAAGAATGAAATGGTACACTTGAAGATCAATATCCTAGGTTTTAGTGAGCTGAAATGGACTGGTACTGGCCATTTTGAATCAGACAATCATATGGTCTATTATGCTTGGAACGACAAATTGAAGAGTAACGGCAACACATTCATTGTCAAAAAGAACATTTCAAGATCTATCCTGAAGTGCAATCTGTCAGTGATAAGATAATATTCATATGCCTACAAGGAAGACCAATAAGCAACATCATGATAAACAGAGAAAATATTCAAGTTATCAAGGATTTCATTTTACCTGGACCCACAATCAACACCCATGAAAGCAGCGGTCAAGAAATCCAAAGATGCATTGCATTGGGCAAACCTGCTGCAAAAGATGTCTTTGAAAGTGTTGAAAAGGGAAGATGTCACCTTGACATTTTGAATCAGACAATCATATGACAAATTTAAGAGGAACAGCATTACATTCATTGTCAAAAAGAAAATTTTAGGATCTATCCTGAAGTACGACACTGTCAGTGATAGGATAATATCTGTACACCTACAAGGAAGACCAATTAATACAAATGCAAATTTATTCACCAACCACTAATGCCAAAGATGAAGAAACTGAAGATTTTTACCAACTTCTGCAGTCCGAAATTGATAAAACATGCAGTGAAGATGCATTGATAATTACTGGTGATTGGAATGCATAAGTTGGAAACAAAAAGAAGGTTCAGTAGTTGGAAAATATGGCCTTGGTGACAGAAATGATGCTGGAGACCACATGACAGAATTTTGCAAGACCAATGACTAATTCATTAAAAATACCTTTTTTTCAACAACATAAGCGACGACTATACATGTGGACCTTGTCAGATGGAATACATAGGAATCATATTGACTACATCTGTGGAAAGAGATGATGGAAAAGATCAATATCATCAGTCAGAATAAGATTAGGAGCCACTGCAGAACACACCATCAGTTGCTCGTATGTAAGTTCAAGTTGAAGCTGAAGAAAATTAAAACAACTCCACAAGAGCCAAAATATGACCTAGAGTATATCTCACCTGAATTTAGAGATCATCTCAAGAATAGATCTGACACACTGAACACTAATGACTGAAGACCAGATAAGTTATGGAGTGACTTCAAGGACATCATCCATGAAGAAAGCAAAAGGTCATTAAAAAGACAGGAAAGAAAGAAAAGACCAAAATAGACGTCAGAATAGACTCTAAAACTTGCTTTTGAACGTAGAGTAACTAAAGTGAATGGAAGAAATGATGAAGTAAAAGCTGAACAGAAGATTTCAAAGGGTGGCTTGAGAAGAAAAAGTAAAGGATTATAATGAAAACTGCAAAGACCTGGAGTTAGGAAATCAAAAGGGAAGAGCACATCAGGCATTTCTGAAACTGAAAGAACTGAAGAAAAAATTCAAGCCTAGAGTTCCAAAGAAGAATTGATGCCTTTGAATTATGGTGTTGGCAAAGAATATTGAATATACCATGGACTGCCAGAAGAACAAACAAATCTGTTTTGGAAGAAGTATAGCCAGAATGCTCCTTAGAAGCAACAATGGAGAGACTATGTCTCACATACTCTGGACGTGTTATCAGGAGGGATCAGTCCCTGGAGAAAGACATCAAGCTTGGTAGAGTAGAGGGTCAGTGAAAAAGAGGAAGACCCTCAATGAGATGGATTAACACAGTGGCTGCAACAAAGGGCTCAAGCATAACGATTGTGAGGATGGTGCAGGACTGGGCAGTGTTTTGTTCTGTTGTATATAGGGTCACTATAGTAGGAACTGACTCAATGCCACCTGACAACAACAACAGGTCCTATTACAAAACTCAAAGCACATATCAAACTATTTGACTGTTCTTGCTTTGAATAATTGGATGATGTCTTTTGTTAAGACCCCTCAAAAGAAAAAGCTTTACGCTTTCTAAAGGAAACAAACAGTTTAGAAAACTGAAGCTGATCCTTTATAGCATGTCAGTGTATCACATTGCTTTACTTGTGTGATGACGAGGAACTTGGACTCAGTCTTTGCACCTTTTAAAAAATGTTGGCAATGCCTATATGACCAGAAGGTTCTGATTCAAGGAGGCAGGAATTCCTTTATTCCAAGTGGGCAGAATACAATCTTGGTTTCTGCCTAAAAATACATGAGTTTTTGCTGGGGATGTGAGACAGGAAGTCCAACTCAGAAGTCTGTTGAATTTAGCAATCAGAGTACTTCAGTCAAAGACAGATTTGGAACACAAACCTCTAAACCAAATTATTTATGTTGACATGTAGGATGGTCCTTAATTTAGAAAATTATGCTACAGTCTTCCCCCTCACTTGACATGACTCAGACGTGACTGCTGGTATAAAAGACACTGAGAGATAAAATTAACTTTGACCCAGCTTCTAGCATTAGATTTTAAAATCAGTCTTATTACTCATTCAGGAATTCCTTATCTATAAAACAGAGGCTGGGCTGAATTTGTAGTGAACTAGTTTAGTACAAAAATGAAAATAAATGGAGAAAAAGGCAAGATATCAAACCAAAGAAATAGTCCTCCATAGAAGTCAAACAATAAAATTGGCAAAAATCACAGAATGTAAAGTCATATCAGATTATTAAGAAGAATTGAGTGGGGTTTTTTTCTGCTATAAGAAGCATACTACTTTCTGAAGCAGCTGGCTTGATAGAATATTGAAATGGCCTTTTTAAGACTTGGTTACAGCACCAGCTAGGTGGCAGTATCTTGCAGGGCTGAGACAATGTTTTCCAGGAGGCTGAATATGCTCTAATTCAGCATCTGACATATGGCGCTGTTTCTCCCATAGCCAGGATTCAAGAGTGGAAATAGGAATGGCACCACTCATTATTATTCCTAGCAAAATTTTTGCTTCCTGTCCCTGGTATTTTATGCTCTGCTGGTCCAGAGGCCTTAGTTCCAAAGCAGACATAAAATGATTCCATTAAACGGGAAGTTAAGACTGCCACCCAGCCACTTTGGTCCCCTTATGTCTCTGAATCAACAAGCAAAGAAGGGAGTTACTGTACTGGCAGGGGTAATTGATCCTGATTACTACGGGGAAATTAGACTGCAATGACACAATGGTGGTAAGGAAGAGTATATCTGGAATACAGGAGATTCATTGGGGTGTCTCTTAGGACTACCTGTCCTGTGATCAGTGGAAAACTACAACCCAATTCAGGCAGGACTATAAATGACCCAGACTCCTCAGGAATGAAGATTTGGGTCACCCCACCAGGCAAAGAACCATGACCAGCTGAGATGCTAACTGAGGGCAAAGAGAATATTGAATGGGTAGCAGAAGAAGAAATTCTGCCTCAAGACTGTAACATAGCATTTCCTATAAGGATAAGGGAAGCACTATTCTAAGTGGTATTATTATCTCCATTTTACAGATGAAGAAACTACAAGGTTAAATGATTTTGTCAAAGTAAGTGAGAGAGCCAGGATTGGAACCCAGGCAGTGTAGCTCCACAACTTATGCTCCTAAACACCATGGAACATGGCCCTTATACAGATGTTGTTTCTAATTTTGTAAAGAAGGAAATAGCCTTGTCTAAAGGACCTTGATTTTTATTTATTTATTTGTTTTTAATATTTTATTGTGTTTTTGGTGGAAGTTTAAACAGTAAATTAGGTTCTCATTTAAAAATTTCTGTACATATTGTTCATTGTCATTGGTTACATTTTTCACAATGTGTCAGCATTCTCATTATTTCCATCCTGGTTGTTCTGTTTCCATTAATCTAGCTTCCCTGTTTCCCCTCACCTTCTCTTCTTTGCTCTAGGAGCACAGTACTTAAAGGTAATATTATTTATTTTATGAGCCAATCTGTCATTTGGCTGAAAGGCAGCCCCTGGGAGTGGTTTGAGTTCCAAGCTTAAAGGGTACCACAGGGTGATAGTCTCAGGCGTTTCTCTAATCTCTACTGGTCTGGCCTTTTTTTTTAGGAATTTGAGTTTTGTTCTACATTTTTCTCACATTCTATCCAGGACCATCTGTTGTGTCCCTGGTCGAAACAATCAGCAATGGTAGCTGGGCACCATCTAGTTCTTCTGGTCTCAAGGTAGGTGAGGCTGTGGTTTGTGTAGACTATTAGTCCTATAGACTAGTTTCTTCTTTGAGTCTTTTGTAACCTTCTCTCTCTTTTGCTCTGGATGAGTAGAGACCAATAGTTATATCCTAGATGGCTGCTCGCAAGTTTTAAGACCCCAGATGCTACTCACCAAACTAGGATGTAGAACATTCATGAGCTGTGTTATGCCAATTGACCAAGTTGCCCCATGAGGCTATGGTCCTAAGCCTTTAAACCAGTAAAACCAATCCTGTGAGGTGTTTGTTTGTATCTAGGAAGTATCTGTAACTGTGCCCCTAAGTGCTTTATTTTATGTATGAATATATATGCAGCACACATAAACATGTATATACATATGCCTACAGATACAGCTACGCATGCACATCCATATATTCATGTATGCCTGTCTTTACATATATATGCACACATATCTATCTATATAACCTCATGCATATTTTTAGCTGTTATTACCGTTGCTGCAAAATTGTATATATTATATACCCATACCTGCTAAATACCTGTTGCTACCAAATCAATTCCAACTCATAACAACCCTGTAGGACAGAGTAGAACTACCCAATAGGGTTTTCAAGGAGCAGCTGGTGGATTTGAACTGTCAACCTTTTTGGTTAGCAGCCATAGCTCTTAACCACTGCACCACTAGGGCTGTGTATTATAGCATTTAAAAAAACTGTCCCTTATTCTTGTGTACTTCTTAGTGTCATCATTTACCTTGGTCAAGTTGTGCTGACTTCACCCTTATTTGGTATCGCCTTTCCCATCACCAGAACTATCAAGTGTCTACTGTCTAGAAAGTGATTCCCCCTCATTCTCCCTCCCATGACTAGTAACCACCAAAGAATATTGCTTTTTTAATATGGAAACCTATTCTTGTCTTTTATAATAGTGAGATCATACAATATTTACCCTTCTGTGATTGATGTGTTTCACTCAGCATAATGTCCTCCAGATTCACTCACATTATATTTTGTGAAATCTTCATTATTCCTTATGGCTGCATAGTAGTCCGTTATGTGTATGTACCACAATTTGTCTAGCCTTTCATCTGTGGATGGGCGCTTAGGTTGTTTCCATTTTTTTGCTATTGTGAATAATGCTGCAATGAATATGTTGTTGTTGTTAGGTGCTGTCGAGTTGGCTTCAACTCATAGCGACCCCATGTACAACAGAACGAAATATTGCCCAGTCCTGTGCCATCCTCACAATTCTTGTTATGCTTGAGCCCATTGTTGCAGCCACTGTGTCAATCCATCTCGTTGAGGGTCTTCCTCTTCCTCGCTGACCTTCTAGTTTACCAAGTATGAGGTCCTTTTCCTCCAGGGACTGATCCCTCCTCATAACATGTCCAAAGTATGTGAGATGTAGTCTCGCCATCCTTGCTTCTAAGGAGCATTCTGGTTGCAATGAATGTAGGAGGCATATAGGACCTTGATTTTTAGTTATAGGGTAGTGTAACCATGGTTGTTCTGTCTGTGATCTTACCTTAGATTTTGGTGTTTACAATTTTTTTTTTCTGAAAAGATTAGAATTGAAAAATTCTTTTCAAGGGAAAGGAAGAAAAATCTAAAGTCTTTCAGAGCTATAGGAACCACTTAGGAGAGAAATAGATATAACACAGGAAGGACAGACAAACATAACACGTAACACTTACTCTGGAAAAAGTTCAGCCCAACCGGAAGCAAACCCAGGATCTCTGTTAAACCATAGCAGGGCCATTACAATGAAGAGGACCAGGGTCACAATTTCTTGATACCTGTGGAAAAATTCTAGCCCCATTATTTCTTATTTTCTCAGCCAGGATGTTTGTAGAATCTTCCTGAGCTATTGTCAAGAGTAATCTTAGCTGAACACTGTAAAAACTGGATGTGCCAATACTTTGAGACCATCAGAGGATCTCGAAAAAGCTCTTAATCCTCTGTGGGTTCCTCAACTGCTTATCATTCCACCTAGCAATTTTTAGTTAGACAACATGTATTTTGTTGTATTAAGTTATATTTACAAAGGTTAGCACATTTGGGACACGTATTAAGAGTTATAAACACATTACAGACAATTATGTGCTCATCTGCATTTAAATAATTACTTGGAGTATAAGCAGCACATTGCGGTGTGTGTGTATGTGTGTGTTTGTGAATCTTACCTCAATGGCCCAAGTTTTTCATATTCTTGTTTAATCACTGCAGCACATGCTTTTTCTTTGACTGTTTTGGTTTTGCCACATTTGAATATCTCCTTCAAACTAAAAAGAATAATTAAGCCTGTTAAGCAAAGGATTCTTTCAACACCACTTTCCTTTATGGAAGATATTTATGTGCAAGCTTCATAAAATACAAATATCCCTGCTAACAACAGAAATACGTGCTTTCCACCTATACCTCCACCTTCTTGGAATGTTCTCTCCCTTCTTTTCTGTTTTTGCCTGGTTTGCTCACTTTTCAATGCTCAGTGTTTGTTCCATATTTTCCATAATATCTTCCACTGATCTCTTCATCTTCCAAGTCCTTTTGCGCCACTGGAATTTTTTCATATACCACTCACTTCCAATTTAACACTTTGTTGTACATTATTTTGATTGTTAATTGTTGCATGTGTATAAGTTTTGTCCCTCTCCCCCCTCCAAAAAAAAAAAAAAACCCAAACCTGTTGCCATTGAGTCGATTCTGACTCATAGTAACCCTATAGGACAGAGTAGAACTGCTCCATTATTATTTGAGGACAGGGACAGTGTCATAGATGTTTTCTTTGGCCCAATATCTCTAGAATACAGGCATACATGGAAAATACTTGTTGACTGATTGATTCATTAATACGTTTGACAAACTTATGACACAGCTGGCTGTCAGATCCGTCACTTCTCACAAAGTACGCTAATCTCGAGTTATACACCAAGGCAGGGAAGTCACATACACTGCTTATGAACAAAGTCCAAACTAGGTCTATTCTCAGAAGCAAAACTGACCCTATTACATTTTTTCTTCAAGTTTATTGACCCCTTATGTCCAACTTTCATCTACTAGATAATTTTCTAGCTTATTTCCAACAATAATGACCAGTTTTTATTGCTTATTTTACTAAATTTTCCACCAGGAAGTCCAAGGTCTTCAAAATTTTGAACAGTTTCTGTGAAGTACTGCTCTAGATTAATAAACGCATTAAGAAAATCCTTCCAGGGGAAGAAATAAATGGGAAAATTCCTATGGATTAACTCATGGAATGTTTATGTGTAGCTCAGTTAGAGTGTATATTATATGTAGGTATAGAAGGCAGAGACAATTTCTTCTATAAAACTGCTGAGTCAAGTATACATGGATATTTTTGAGGGAGTAGGTAGGAACACTGAGGTGGTGGGAGAGTAGCTATCATACAAAGATATATTCTATATATATATGTTTTTTCTGTAACTCTGCTACTGGAACTTGTTTGGACTATGGTGGTACCACAGCCTCCTCCCCTCAACCATTAAATCACCCATTCTACACATGCATAATTGCACCAATCATTGAAAATAATTAGATAGATGCTGTTGCATTTAAGATCAATAAGGTGATATTTAATTTCTATAATCTCAAATAATTAATTAATGCCACCCTTGAAATTTTACCACTGTCACAACAAAAATACTACTAGTATAAGAAACTACTCCATGGACCACTTTGAGAACCATCTGTAGACTAAAAAAGTACAGTTAAAGAAAGCAATTAAGATTCTCCTTAGAGAGTGTGTTCCCCCAGTCAACTGCATATGTATCTTGTCACTTTGGTTGGGGACAATAAACAGTTAAGTCAAAACCAAATTGGCTTTGTTACAAATGAAGGTTAATGCCTTCACAAAGGAACTGATGAAGCATATGACAATACATCAACCTCTCCATTTAAATAAGTTCAGCGGCACTGATAGATGAGCTTCTCTTCCCAAGTATGTTGGGGTCATTTATAATGGGCGAGTTAACTGTGCTAACAGTCAACTCACTAATCAGAATGTATGGGTGCCTGCCAGGGGAGGGGCTGATTATTTTCTGTTTGTTGATCTAAAGCCTCTGGAGGTGAACACCCTGGCTGATTGAAGGGACACTGAAAAATTAGTGGGAGCACGAGGGTGTGCACTGTCTAATAGTGGACAGCCAGGGGACTGTTTAAACGTGCCACTGATCATGATTTATGGGCTTGGTCTAATGTATGCACTTCTTGGAATTACTTTTCTCGTGAGAACACATTTCAATGCATCTGTCCTTTCTCTTCATAGCTTCTCCTTTTGAAGTGGTGAGCCACTGTAAATCAATGACAATGATTACATACATATTTTATAAAGTCATAATATATAGCAACAAAGAAGGAAACAGCTGTGGGTCTGGGACTGGATGGGTTCTCCACAGACTTGGGATTCCTGTGTCCCTGCACACTGCATGGCTCTGTGTACAACTGAAGAGACCCCCAAAGGCTAGAGTTCCTAGGGAGGGGCACTTAGTATGCAGCTGGCCTCTCCCCATTGATGCCCACCTGCTGAAGTCAGTGACATTCCACACATTTGCTTCAGTAGGAGGACTGCCACATGCTGCTCCCACAATCTGGACGAACAGGTTTTTTTTTTTTTAAGCATTAGCACCATCTCTCCACTGCTAAAAAAACTACAGCAGTTCTGGAGAAAAACCAGGAAGAGGCATCGGGAAGAATTCAGCCCTTATATGACCAGGCTTGGAAAATGTGGCCACAGGGCCTGGAACCAGCCTAATCAGAGTATTTTGCTTTTCAAAGGAAATACAAATAGCTGACTTCAGCCTTGATGGCTTGGAAGGGAGCATGCTGTTTTATTCATAGGTCTTTGAAATTATTTAAATAAAATCTTATAAGAATGAATTTGAATTGTCAATTTTGCTTTGTTTTCAGGAAAAAAAAAATCCTCACAGTGTGATGTATAGCCGTTCCCCTTTCTTTTTGGAGTATTGCTATACCAAAAGCCAAACCATTGCTGGAGTATTGCTATATGAACTGAAAATAGAATGCTTTGTTTTAAATTTTGCTGATGAGCCCTGTGTAATTTTAAATGCTAGCTGTTATCTAAGTCATAGAATGCTTTGGTACTTATAAATCACCAGCTCCAGCCCCAGCCAAGGTAATATTTTGAAATTCTCCTCAAATCACATATATTTGATATCTTAGTGGCATAATTATTCTTTATTAATCAGAGTTTCTTACCTCAACTTTATGTGTTCAAGTTGGGTCCATACCATTTAGAAATATACATTGGAAGTGAGTGATCTTACTGATGGGCTGATTGAGTTCTGTCATTTCACAGATGAAGACACTGAGACTGGGCCAGGGTCAGGTCTGGAGCTAGATCACACATCTGGCCTGCCAGGAGCCATGACTTGGACCCTGGTCTCCCAATTCCTAATCCACTACTCTTTTCACAGAGCACTGTCTAAGATCTTTATTTTAATTTGTTTTTTTAAGGTGATACAACAGATTTGGTGCTGGCATGAAGCAGGAAGTCCTGTATACTAGAGTTTTAAGGAATTCAATAACTTGAGAAAATCTCCATGTTAAATCAAATGGAGGGGCAAAACTTCTGAAAGTGTCATTTTGACAAGTTGGGCTGGGTCCTCATCATAAATCTGTTTCTTATACCTTTGTTGCCCATTCATAACACCTTATTGGTTTAGGATTCATAGGAGACCCAGATGGATATATTCTAGCTTATCCTTAACACATCTTTGTGTGTGTCAGTTTGGTGGGTAAGAGAACTACAGAAGTGCAACATTTGTGACAGATGTGAAGGAGCCCTGGGTAAGGAGTTGAGAACTTGGAACCTTAAAACCAGTTGCCATTAAGTCTATTCCAACTCATGGTGACCCCACACGTGTCAGAGTAGAACTGTGCTCCATAGGGTTTTCAATGGCTGATTTTTTGGAAATAGATTGCCAGGACTTTCTTCCAAGTACCTCTGGGTGGACTCAAACCTCCAACCTTTTCATTAGCAGCCAAGCATGTTAACCGTTTGCACCACTCAGGGACTCCTAGACAGCTTGATTTATCAGATTAATATGGAATATCTACTTACTCGAATCCTAGGAAAAGCCACTGAAGCCAGATCCAGGACAAGATGAGAATAATAAGAGCAGCCGGGAAGGAAAATATAAACCATGATCCAAAGTTGATACAATTGCATTTGGGATAGCGCCTGGGCAAAAATACAGACAAGCGTTCATGCAGAGTGACAAGTGGAAGCCTTTGCAATGCTTACTGAGGTGCTACAGGGCTATATGCTTCCTGTGCTGCAGCCAAGGAGGAAGTCGTGGGATGTGCTCACCACTAAGTATAGCAGTTGGTTTTACTTTTTGTCTCGTCTTGACTCTGTACCTACATAATTATTGCTGTATCCACAAAAGCAAGAGAGGGTATGTTTTGACTTTTATTCCCTTTATTCACTCTGCAAGGAAATGTTTGGGAAAAAACCTAGTACAATACCTGAGGCTCATTAAATGCACAAGAAATGGGTGTGCATGGGTGTGTGTGTTTTGCTATTATTACTCAAATCATAAGTATGTGAATGAGGAAAGACACACAGCAGATTTGGGAACAGGTGAAAATAAGCTTAACTGGACTGAATGTCTGTTCTCATTTCATACTGGTAGCTTGCATCTCGCGCACTTATGTATCTCTAATCCAGTCCCATGTAGTCTGTCATAACCGTTGTCCCCTCTGTTTCTTCTCTCCAAAGCAACTGCAACCATCTTACCAGGAACATGCTACTCTGTCCTTCTTAGAATTAGACATTTGTTTGAGACTCAGTCAACTGGGATAAATATGGACAGATAAAAATAATAAAAAATCCTATGGAAAACATGAACTTTTCCTATCTTTTTCCTCATTGTTTTCAGCTTTTTATCTCACACATTAACAAAACAACAATGTAAAAAGGCCAGATAAATGTACAGTTTCACTGGTAACCTCACATTTATAGCTTTAAAATATAGTCTAAGTACCAAATAAATTCTCATATAAAAACCAAAAAACCAAACCCACTGCCTTTGAGTAGATTCCGACTCATAGCGATCCTGTGGGACACAGAACTGCTCCACAGCGTTTCCAAAGCTGTAAATCTTTATGGAAGCAGACTGCCACATCTTTCTCCTGCGGAGCAGCTGGTGGGTTCGAACCACCAACATTTCCTTTAGCAGGTGAATGCTTTAACCAGTATGCTACCAGGGCTCCTTAAAAATTTTCATACAGTTACCCATTTCATGACTGTGTAAAAACAACAGGAAATTTGAGAAACAGTTGTCTTTAACATTTTTTTCCCTTAAATTAGTAACACGAAGACAAAGTTGGAAAACTGGAAAAAAACGGGAAAATATACAGAAGTAATAAAAACACCATTAACATATTTTTATTATTTTTTGAAACCATGTAATACAGAAATGATAAAGTTCCAATGCTTGTTTAGCTTACACCTTGCCCTTTGTCATTTAAAAGTGACCACATACAGTTCATCAAAAAATGAAACTATAACTACCCTATGACCAGCAAGTGTACTCCTAGGTGTATACCCAAAAGACTTGACAACGGAGACTCGAAAAGAGACTCGTTCACCAACGTTCATTATAGCACTATTCACAATAGCCAAAAGGTGGAAACAACCTAAATGCCCATCCACAGATGAATGGATAAACAAAATGTAGTACCTACATGCAATAGAATACTATTCAGCCAGTAGGAGATATGGACGGAGCTTGAAGACATGATGCTGAGCAAAATAAGCCAATTGCAAAAGGACAAATACTGTACAACCTCTCTTATACAAAAAGGCAAGAAAAGGCAAATGTGTAGAGACCAAAATTTACTAGTTGTTACCAGGGGTGGGAGGGAGAAGAAAAAGGGGGGTTAATGGTGATGGAAAAATCACATTGAGTAAGAGTAAGATTGCACAGCTGATGATTATAATTGCTGTCAATAAATTGTACAATAAGTTGTACAATTTAAAAGGTTAAATTGCCAAAAATTGTGTGATAGATATATTTACAACAATGACACACACACAAAAAGAGTAGCTTCTGAGGTTGCTTATGTACAACCAAACACCTCATGGGATTTGGTTCCTTGGTGTGGAGGTTTAGAGGCCATGGTTTCATGGGACTTCCCAGTTAATTGGCCTAATAATGTGTTTAGTGCCTCTGTTCTACCTCCTAGTTCATTGTGTAGTGCCTGGGGTCTTAAAAGCTTGCAAACAGCCATCCAAGGCACAACAATTGGTCTCTATTCACCTGGAGCAGCAGAGGAAGAAGGAGAGTCAGGAATAGGAGGAGGAAATGGAGAATGTGGCTAATTACCTCCAAGAACAACTGCCTCCTTTGCCATGCTACCAGAAGAACTGGATAGCTCCCCACTACCATTACTCAACATTTTGATTAAGGATTCTATAGAGCAATCCTGATTAAAAGGGTGAAAATGCAGAACAGAATTTCAAATTCTCATGGACTGCAGACTTTCTGGAGCCATGGAGGCTGGATGAATCCCCGAAACTATTACCCTGAGATAATATTTAAAACTTAAACCCTGAAGTCTTCTTAAAACCATTAAAACTCTATGGCTAGTCATCAGTTAACTCCTCTGAGCTGGCCTGGGACATCGGTTGGCACCTGTTGCTTATTAATTCACTATGTACTGCATCTTTAACTCTCTTACAAGAGAAAGTCCCTAGACCTGTAGATGTCCTAATGGGAAACAAAGGAGAGTTAACTCAACATAGCATTTCTATCCTTGGATCCTCCGAATCAGGTAAGACTAATCGCTGTAAGTTGTGCACTATCCATTTGTTAAATCAACAATCCAACACTTGCACTTACATATTGAAGTACTCGGCAAAGATCAAGTTGGTGGAGGTGCCAGTGATTGTGGTCAGTCCGCCGATGGTAGAAGAGTAAGCAATGCACAAGCACATAAGTTTACACATCATGTGGTCTTTCTTTGTTCTATATTTACTTCCTGTAACTGAGATCTGTTATACAAGAAAATGGACTATGAGAACAGCTCTATTTCTGGTCTTAGCAAGCCGTAATAGCATTTATCTTTCCATTATTTCTCTTTAGGAAATCTCATATATTTTTAATTGATTTAATGAATACTGATCTATCAGACCACCAAACTTCTATCTCCAGCCCAGGCCTCTTTTTTCCGGACTCATATATCCAGTTGCCTGTTCAACATAAATTGAATGTCTTAAATAAAACACCAACTCAAAATGTTGAAAACCAAACTCATATTTCCTTCCTCAAACTTCTTCATTATCACATATACAAGCTAATGGTATCACCATTACCATAATGACAAACATTTACAGAGGGCTTAGTATATAAAGATCACTCCCTTAAACTCAATTCTTGCAACACAATGAGGTTGGTACTATTATTATCCCCAGTTGACAGATGAAAACATGAGATACAGAGTGGTTAAGTGATTTGCCCAAGATCATGGAGCAGATTTGGATTTTGAAACCATGTACGATCTTTTTACGCAAATAACATGTGCCTTCTGTGTTTGTTTGCCGACTGCGCTCTCCCTCCTCAAGGCATTTTCATAAGTACGCTGTGCTAATATTTTATAGCAACGTGTAAAAAAAAATTGGCGTAGTGGCGCCTATGAAAATACTTTGTGGGGGGGGTGCTGTTGGCAAGCAAACGTAGATGGCGCACGTTCTTTGCATAAAAATATGGTACTCTTGCTTAAGAGCTCATAGTCCTAGCTACTATAGTATATTGCTTGTCCTCCTTGAAAACATTCTCTTCCTCACCACCAAATCCGGTCAGTTTTGTCTAATTAAACATGACTGGACTCTGTTCAGTTTTCTCCATCTCCACTGCAACACGTCTCGTCTGAGTCACCCTGCTCTCTGGCCTGGGTTGCTGTAACAGCCTCCTTACAAACCTTGCATCAATTCTTGCCTATTTCAGACATATTCTACACACTTTTTAAAAAAATCAGATGTATTTAAAAATGTAAAAACAGAAGAATTGCCCTATTTCATACAGCTAAGCAAGCAGTCTGTGACATTGGCACGAAAAGATCTTTTTGAGAAAGCAGGATAAGAAAAAATTTACTACTCACTCAAAGTCATCATGGATGTGGGAATGGCATTCAGCATGGCAGAGGTCAGGTGTATTAGATTATGATTTACCTTTTACTTTTTAATTATCTTAAAAGCCAGCCCCTAGATGTATCTACTTTTCACAAGGAATACTTAAAAAATGTCTCCTATGCCTTATATTTTCTACACAGAAATAATTTGTATTGTTCATATATAAGTTTCTGTTGAACACTTGAAAAAATGGTATATAAATAAAATGATAAAAATGTTTAAAAACTCTTATGAGTGATTTTACTTAATGAAGTATACTTTATGAAGCCTACAGAAAAGACTTTTCAAACATAAACCAGAAAGTGATGTGTAATTTGGATATATAATCTGGGTATGATTAAATTGATGATAAGAATGGAAACTTAAAATTATAATGTATATATGATTTCTCATTGTTGAATTAAAACTTTCAAAAGTACGAAGGAAAAATAAATTTCATATAAAAATGTAACTGCAAATATATGCATACATATGTATGTATATACATATATATAAACAATGATTGAAATGCCTTGTCAGATATAAAATAAACAATCAAAATATAAAAATATTTACATATTTCCCGTGATTTAACCCTTATGGGTTTCTCACATCTTTTTTCTCCTATATCTTTATGATCTTTAAAACATACACTATATAAAATAAACAATCAAAATATAATAGTATTAATATATTTACCATCATTTATCCCTTATGGGTTTCCCATACCTTTTTTCCCCTATATCTTTATGACCTTTAAAACATACACTAATAGTACTACATAGAGTGATGTTTATGCAATTATCACAGATGATTTATAAAGGCATTAAAATTCAGGGTAAATTTAACTACTGAATGTTTTGATCAAAGATTCTATAGAAGAATCCTGATCAAAAGAAGGAAAATGAAGAACAAAATTTCCAGTTCTCATGGAATCCAGATTTTCTGGAGCCATAGGGGCTGAATGAACCCCTGAAACGATTGCTCTGAGATAATCTTTAAACCTTAAACCAAAAATATTCCCTAAAGTCTTCTCAAAACCAAACAATAGTTTAGCTTAACTAGGAAAGAATGTCTGCCTTGAGCATTGTGCTCTTTTAAGATCTATCTATATGGGATCAAAACGACAACAACAGCTCGAAATATTAGATAGGAAACTTACAGGCAGTGAGTTTATGTTAATGGGGGAAGAATTACTCAGAAAAAGAGGGTGAGAATGGTTGTACAGCTCAAAGAATGAAATCACTGTCATATAATTTTACATGTAGCAACTGCTGAATTGGTGTATGTTCTGCGGAGTATATTCTCAACAACAACAAAAATAAAATAAGTTATAAAAAATTTCAGGGTAAATTTAAATTCTGTAGTAAGTGATAGTATTAATACATCTTGATAATACAAATTAAAGGTTAAGTGGAGGTGTTTTGGAGATGGGATGGGGGGTGCACCATTCGTGTATCTAGCTGGTAAACATGAGGCTCATGCAGTCGTCTCTATCATTTTTGCTGGCTCCTTGCCCTATGAGGCAGTTCTACTCTGTCCTATAGGGTTGCCATGAATCAAAATAGACTCGACGGCAATGGATTTTGTTTTTTTGTTTGTTTGTTTGCACAGTTTGGGCTCTTCAGCCCAATATTCAGGACTTTTCATGATTTCACCCTTGTCTACCTCTACAGTATCAACTCTAGCCAGGGGTGGATTATCCAATAGGCAAGGTAAGCACGAGGCTTACTTTGCTTCCTAGATCATCTGTAGTGAACAATTTCACATTTTTTCACGACATCAAAGATTCAGCTTCTAGGTATGGCTGGCATCTGTCTCTCTGCCAACTCTACAGCACCTTCCTACAGAATCAAAGCCTCTTTTCAAATTTACAATCCCTGACAGGGATGGATTACCAAGTAAGCAAGGTACGCACGGGCTGATTTGTGCTTATTTACTGCACTAATCAGCCCGGGCGTACCTTACTTACTGGGTAATCTGACCCTGACGCCATCCACTCGCTTCGTCTGCTGTTTCAGTCCCACGAAACTACATGCTGCCCTTCTTGTCTCGGATGCCTTGTGCCTTTGCTCCATGCTGCCTTCTCTGCTCTGCCCAGAACTCTGTTCCTCCCTTGCTCCATCTAACTGCTACTCATCCTTCCAAACAGCTCAAGCATTATTTGCTTTTGGAAACCTTATGTTTTGATATTGTTTATTTTCTGACAGTGCAATTCAGTCGTGTGATTGCTGGGTTGAATTTGGTGAAGGGATGATGCTGAAGCAGGGGGTAAATACTGAGGACCAGAGGGACAGGAGTAGAAGGCACTGAGCAGAAGAATAGTGCTCTCACGAAAGCCTTGGATGAACTACTCATGGAGCTGACTATTGGTACAGAAACTATGAAACACAGTGGGGTCCCAGCAGATTAGACGTTTGTCTAGATGGTAGTTTTAACCTGAGACCAAGAAGTTTGACCCTAAGCGCAAGAGGAAGTTGGGTTAAGTCATCTGGGGGTTGAAAGCACAATCACAAGGGCACACGTTTTTGCAGATACCAAGACAACAAAATAATCACTATGCTTTTCCATAAAAGGAGAAGCGATTTGCCATATGTGTTGTATGTGTATGTATTTTCTTCTAAGAGTTTGGAAGAGAAAAAGCTCCCGAGCAAAGAAGGGAGGGGGAGCAAAGAGTCTAAAGGGGTGAGGCTGGGACTGCTAGGGATTAAGTGGCAGAGAAAACTCCTTGTGGTAAAGGAACAAAGGACATTGCTATGTGCATGTTATGACATGAGAAAGTGCTTGTGCTATGTTATGTGAAAAGAGACTTATATGAAATTAAATATAGAGAATTATGGGATAATTCTTTTTAAATAAAAAAATACATATACACTCCTAGAAATAAGACAGAAATGAAATACATCAGAATATTAACAATGGTTATTTTCGATCATGGGATTAGGAGTGTTTTTGCTTCCTTCTTGATATTTTATATCTTCAACAATAATATAATTTTTTTTTAATATAAAAGAATCATAGACTATTACAGCAGACAGGTATTTACAGGTTATCTGATTCAAAGTCAAAATTTTCATTCAAATAAAATGAGTCTCAAATGTGGCATAACTGGCCATTGCAGAATGGAAACCCAAATCCATGCATCTGAGTTCCTTCTCAATGATTTTCCCTGTACCATCCTGCCTTCCAGCACACTTTTTACTTATTGTGTGTTTTTAACCTACATCTAAGACTGCATTTTGTTGCATTTCATGATGCCTTTACCCAATCAATTCTAACCTTTTGTGTTTTTATTGAATCCTAATTCTGTCATACATGAGTTATTCCATGATTCTAAGACTTAATATCTATGCTTTCACATCATCCAAGTAACTGACAAAATTTTGACTAGGACATGCCCAAATGCAGAATCCTTTGACATTCTCACCCTGGTGGTGCTAAATTGACATTTCAGAACAGAAATCCTGCAGGCCCAGCTACAACTCACTACTGCCACCTCGTGGCAGTGATTGCAGATTTCAGGGTCACGTTACAAATTTCCAACCTTGGGTGCTAAAAATGCATACTTGAATCAGCATGGGCTAAACCAGTAGTCTCCAAAGGGGTATACAAGATAATCCATTGGGCTTGGTTTGGTATGAAAACGTTAGAGTTTCTGTTTATATTTAAATAATTATGCAAGGCTGATTACAAAAAAGAATTAGTTTCTGCCAACTGTTTTATGCTTGCCAGACAGCCACTTCCAAAACTTCTAGCTATTTTTGATATTTATTTGCACATATATTAATAATATTCATATGATACTATCTCCTAATTTCTCATTTGTAGACATTACAATTAACTTTCACAGCTTCCCCCACTGAACACACTCATACTTTCCGACT